ATTTTTTGAATCTTCAATCAGAGGTGGTTTATCGCTTCTTGCAAATAGATACTCTCATGCAAACAATCCGTACATATCGCAAACTTACGATAATTCGAAACCCCATAGCTACATAATAACGATTGATAGCAATAATCTATACGGATTGAGTATGGTTCAATATCTCCCATATTCAGAGTTTCGTTGGTTGCGACAATCCGAAATTGAGGAATTTAATATTAAAAATGTTTCTTCAAAATCCGAAATAGGATACATACTCGAAGTTGACTTAGAATATCCGGTTTCGCTTCACGATAGACATAATGATTTACCCCTCGCAGTAAGTCACGAAACAATAGAATACGATGATTTATCTGAATATCAGAAATCGCTTTTATCTTCTTTAAATCTAAAATTTAACAATAATGTTAAAAAATTAGTTCCGACTTTAAAAGATAAATTACGTTATATTGTACACTATAGAAACTTAAAATATTATCTAAAGGAAGGTTTAATTTTTAAAAAAATCTATAGAATACTTTCTTTTAAACAAGCGCCTTACTTAAAACCATATATACTTTTTAATAATGAAAAATGAAAACTTACAAAAGTCAATTCGACAAAAACTTTTTTAAATTAATGAACAATAGCTTCTATGGTAAATGTATGCAAAATGTGCGTAAAAAGATTAATTTAAAAGCTGGATTGAATAAAGACCAATGTAAAAAATATATGTACCAAATATATTACGAAGTATTTAAAAATTATTATAAAGATAGGGTTAAACTTTTGTATTGTATACAGATACAGATTATTTAATTTTAGAAATTTACACAAATGATATTTACGACAATTTTAAAAATAATCTTCCGAACATATTTGATTTTAGTAATTATCCTGTAGACCATCCATTATACAGCGAAGAAAATAAAAACAAATTAGGATTTTTCAAAGATGAAGCAAAATCGTTAGCAATATCAGAATTAGTAGGTTTAAAAGCTAAAATGTATTCAATTTCTGGAGAGTGTTATGAGAAAAAAACGGCAAAAGGTATAAATAAATCAGTTGTTAAATCAACTTTTTACCACAAGCTATATAAATCTACTCTATTTAAAAAACAACAACTTCGTCATAGTCAAACTCAAATAATAAGTAAAAAATCACGTGATCACGACTCAATTTCAAAATAAAATCTCTTTCGGCTTTTTACTATAAGGAATACATTTTAAATAACGGAATAGACACTTTATCTTATGGACACTATTCTATTTCTTCATAGACATTTTTTCAATCCATTTTTTAATACTTTAATGTTATTGTATTAATTTTATATATTATTGTATTCATTATTTTAAAATTCTTAAATGAAAATGTAATCTTTTTTAAATATTATTGTTGTAATTGTTATTTTTAATTCTTAAAATGAAAAAAAAAAAAAAATGTAATCATTTATTATTATTGTAACCGTTCTTTATCTCCAATAAAAGAGAGAGAGAGAGTTGTAGTTTATTTAATCACCATCACAACATAAAAAAAAAAACTGGGGAGTATTAAACGCAATAAATGCCGTAAAAAAATCGATATATAACGAAATAGCAAATAGCATGATCCGATTAGTGATGGTACTGTACATGTTATTTGTTATTTCTTTTAACATCTAATTTCGAAGGAAAAAAAAATAAAAAATATATTAAAATTTAAAAAAAGTTATTTAATATATTTGTTGCCAGATGGCACCACGACGATCACTTGCATTAAAAAAAATGTTACTTCTGTAATTGCTTGTATAAAAAAAATAAATATTAGTTTTCTTATATAAAATAATAGTTCTCTTATCTAAACAAAATTTAAAATATATAGAACAATTTTAAAAAATGTTTGCAATTACAGTATTATTAAAATATTGGAAATTAATATTTTGGAATCTAAGAATTGTTTTTTGAAGCATTGCATCTGTACTGCCGTTATTAAACCATTTACAATATCTTTAGTCTTGCCGTCTAAAATATTAAAAACATCTTATAACAGAGTGATTTATTCCAGAAACACTCGTTCAAATTGCGCAGAAAAGTATAACCGAAGGGGCATAAAAAATGGGTGTGGTTTCAACTCATACGAGAGTTTCTACTAATACTAATTATCTCAGAATCGCTCGAGTGATTTTAAAATTATGCCAGAAACTGTCGTATTTTTGCCCCTGCTCGATGTCTTTCCCTCAAAATAACAAGTGTTTCTGGGATAAAAGTTAAAAACCTTTAAAAGTTTAACAAATTATCCCAGAGTCTCTCATATATATACTACTAATGTATTCTATTATGATATCCATTTAATAAAATGTTATTAATATGAACAAGATATCCTTATTATGTAATTAAATAAACAAATGATATTTCCTAACATGAAAAAAAATTTTTTGTTTTTTTATAAATAATAACCAACCCCCAATTGACTGGGAGAATTTTCATCTTTGCCATTATAAGAAAATACTATATATCATTTTAGAAATTATGTTGACTGAGATCGCATTAGTCAACGAAACGATTTAACTTACATATTCATTTCGGAATTCGCTGATAAGTTAAATTGGGAATTCATATGGAAATATTACATATTCCCTACTTTATTTATTGAAAAACATACTAAAAAATATGCAAAATGGGATTTAATTTGTGAACATCAGATACTAGATGAATCATTCTTGACCGACTTTTCAAGATATCTTAATTGGAATAGTGGCCAAATTTCAAATTCTTTCACAAATTTTATTAAGTGATACATACATAAGTTAGATACCAAATACTTGACTCACAATTTATTGATGACTTTCAAAACCATCTTTCTTGGTGTCACATTTTAAAATATTAAAAATTAGAACAGGAATATATTGTCAACAATCACCAAAATTTATTACTCAGACATTTGTCATGTTTTAGATAAAATGTCTGAAAAATTGGAAAATCTTAATAAATAAAAACTTATTCACATGTATTAATGTATTGTAAAAATAAACTTTCAAAATAATTTCATTTTGGTGTAATATTCAAATTGTCATGTTTTAATTTAACCGGATATTAAATCAAATTTTTATTGTAAATATACACAAATTATTGCAAATATATTCAAATTTATAATAAAAATCAAACTA